TGGGTTTTTCACAAAAGATTTGGAAACTAAAATGTCTTCCATAGAAAATAAAATTTCTTCTGATGTTTCTTCTATAAAAAGTGATATTTCCCGCTAAGAATCTAAAGTTTCTTCCGATATATCTTCCTTGGATGATGAAGTTTCTTTTTTAGAAAGTAAAGTTTCGTCTGATATTTCTTCCTTAGAAGAAAATGTGTCTGCTGAAATGTCTTCTATGGAAATTAAAGTCTTCTCTGATATATCATTTATAAAAAATAAAATTTCTTCTGTTGAGGAGAAAATAAAACAGATGGAAAAGAAGATAGAAGAATTGGAACATACAGAACAGTCCAAGGACAGTGAACTAAAGTGTAGTGAGGTGGAGTCGAAGTTGAAATTGAAAGGAGCTATAAACTCTGTTACTAATGTTAAAGCCACAACTTTCGACGAAAAGATGTTATGGACCAACTACCTGAAACAGTTTACAACAGCTGCCATAGCAAAGGAATGGTCTGAACGAGAGAATGCAAAAAAAATTGACCATCGCTCTTCAAGGAGACACATTAAATGTCCTTCAGACTATACTTGTGGAAGAGAGAGATGATTTTGAGCAACTCAAAAAGAGAATAAATATACGTTATGGCCACGAACACTTAGAGCATTTATACCAGTCACAGTTAAAGACTTGTAAACAAACATCGTATTGCCAGGTTGGTACGGTTTACTTACCCATCAGCTCCTGAAAACATGATGGAATGTTTGGCAGTTCAAATATTTGTTGATGGACTTCGTGACCACAAGATGCAGAAAACACTCCGCTTAGCCCGTCACAAAACATTGGTCGATGTCTTGTCCGCACTCTAGAGTATAAGGCAGCTACGCAGGCTTCTAAAGGATACAGTAAAGTGAGAACTGTAAAAGAAGCAAACGTAGAAGATAAACTTGACCAACTAGTTAACATAATGAAGAGTTTTACTGACAAGAAGATAAAGATAAATACTATCAGGAGCTGGAATTGCGGTAAACTGGGCCATTTACGCAGTTCGTACAAACACCCAAGGGTCACAACAATTAAAGACAATACGCCGCAGGAAAACTAGAGCGGGTCGGCCGTTCCAAAGACCCTCTCATACTGTAGCCTCTTTGAAATGTCTTTATGATAGTGTATACGTAGACGGTGAAGTAAATGGTAAAAAGTATACACTGTTGGTGGATACTGGAGCAACTAGGACCATTACACGACCAACAACCATAAATAACCGTAAGAGACTTCTACTAACAAGATTACGACTACGGACTGCCACAGGGACTGCCATGGGGAAATCCAGGTTCAATTGGAAATTGGCACAGAAAAGTTTACTCATACTGGTATTGTCCTGATATTGAAAAAGATGTTATAATTGGAATGGATGTAATGAACTTACAATGTTTCCAGTTAGACTTTAAGAACAGAGTGATCAAGGTTGGTGCCGAAGAGGTATTGCTACATCCATTTGGGGACAGTACCGTGCCAGTTGCTGTACAGGATGACACGGTTATACTTGGTAGAAGTGAAACCATTATAGTAGCATGGCTTCAAGAAACTATGGAAGAAGGAACATCTGTCATGATGGAATGTTGGAACTACGATGAAGAGGTTGGACGATGTATTCTGATCGGAAAGAGGTTAGTCACGACTGCTAAAGAAATTTAAGTCCGTCTCATAAACCCAATTACCATCAAGAAAGAGACCAGAATTGGAACTTGTGTACCAGTAACTTCCATAATTTGTCAGACAACAACTTCTGATATTTCTAATGACAAATTCGAGCAAATGATTGCAGTTGCTGGATCTCTGAATCAATTAGAGAAAAGGAAAATACAGATATTTCTACGACAGTATTGTGATATTTCTGTACCAAAAGGAGGAAAATCAGGAAGCACTTCTGTTGTAAAACGCAAAATTAACACTGTTGACGCTGCCAGGCCGATTCGTCAATCAGCTCGAAGATTACCAAAGGCCAAGAGAAAGAAATCTGACAGGATTGTTCAGGAAATGGGTCTCTCCGGTAGTTTATGCCCAGAAAAAGGATGAAACTACGAGGTTCTGTGTAGATTACCATCAGTTGAACAATGTTACCAAGAAATATAGTTATCATCTGCATTGAATCGATGATACCTTGGACACATTGGCCGGAAGTAAACTATTTTCTACCTAAGACTTAAAGTCTGGATACTGGCAGGTGGAAATGGTCCCAAGCTTTTACCACCGGATCTAGATTATGGCAATTCAATGTCATGCCATTTGGACTATGTAATGCCACTACGACATATGAAACACTTATGAAAAAATGTTTTAAGAGGGTTATCATGGAAAACGTACCTGGTATATTTAGACGATATTATAGTCTTGGGGAAGACATTTGATAAACATCTAAAGAAGATGTTTTTAAAGGACTTCAACTGCCCAACTGATGCTAAACCCCAAGGAATTCCATCAATTCCAAAATAAAGTCAATTACCTGGGTCATATAGTCAGTAAGGATGGCGTGGCTGTAGAAAAGTGGAAATGCGCTTCTACCAGAGAGTGGCAACAACCAAAGGATAAACACCAAATGAAAAGTTTTCTTGGGCTTTGTACGTACTACCGAAGATTCATAAAAAAGCAAGAGAATTCTGCTGTGACGAAGACTGCCAAACTGCCTTTGAAACACTAAAGAAGCATTTAACAATAGCGCCAATACTACGCTATCCACTGCCAGAGGGAGAATTTATCCTGAATACTGTTGCCAGGTAATGTCGGAATTGGAGGAGTGCTTTCACAGATTCCCGTGACCGCGTATGGTAACAAATACATTTTGGTGGTCATGGATTATTTTACACAGTGGGTGAAAGTCTACGTCATTCCAAATCAAGAGACCGCAACTGTTGCAGATGTATTGATAAAAAAGTTTATCTGTTGATTTAAAGTGCCCTTAGAGATCCACAGTGACCAAGGCAGAAATTTTGAAAGCCAACTCTTTTGTAAAATTTGTGACAGACTAGGCATGCACCCACAATCCGATGGACTGGTAGAGCGAATGAATTAGACCATTTGCAAATATCCGTCAAAAGTGGTTTCAAACTATAAGCAAGATTGGGATAAGTATATTTCGTATAGATCAGCTGTCAATGAATCTACAGGCCAAACACCAGCAAATGTGCTGTCCGGGAGACTATCGTGTGACCTTGAGTTTGTATGCCAACCTGGAGAAGAGAGAGCCGGTGAAGATTATGTGATCAAATTACGAAGAAAAAATGGACGACATGCATGAATTCACTCGTATCTTCAAATTGTCAGCGACAGAATGAAGAAGCAATACGATATTCAAGCCACAGAAGGATGTTTCAAGGAAGGCGACAAAGTCTAGCTCCATAACCCAAAAAAAGGGTTATTCTCCGAAGCTTCAAAGGTCTTGGACAGGTTCGTACCTCATTAGGAACAAAAAATATGATGTCATTTACCATATAAGTAAGATTCCTAACGGTAAACCAAAGGTAGTTCACCAAAACCAGCTGGCGCCATTTGAGGATAACCAAGACGAGGAAAAAGAAGTAAACCAGCTCCAAGAATCACCTGACCTTGTCCTTGAATAATTTATGGGTGCATATAAAGATACCAGAAAAGCAAGATATGGTGTTACAACCGAGTAACAACAAGATCTGCTCACGGTTCCTAAAGATTACTCATTGGTCCATAGCACTTCCGCCAAGAAGAAGTTTTGTCGATTTTCAGAACTTCAAGATCAGCTACCAGCCTCTGGAAAAGCATTGAAACTTCAATATGGATCGCGTTACCTTTTCTATCTGGTAACAAAAAACATCTTCCGAGATCGATCCACTTAATATGATGTATGAGAAGCATTACTTAGTTTAAGGGAGCACGTACTGAAGTCCATTGTACAGAAACTAGCAATGCCGAAGATAGATGGAAATCAGCTGGATTGGAGGATCATTAAGAACATGGTAGAAGTAATCTTTTAAGATACTGGAGTCCAAATACTGCTCTGCAGCCTTTGGTCCAATGGCCAGGTTACAACGAAGACAGGTCCTTGTTACTTCCATGCAACTGGAAATTGCAAAAGAGGGTTCAGTTGCAGATGCAACCAATCCGTTTAGGTTTCGTAAAAGTTCCAAAAGGAACTATATCTTAAGGAGGGGGCAATGTAATGCGAGCCATTCCAACGATTTCGGTCATGCTCTAATCGTCAAAGTCCCTTTCTTTCTTTTTTGGCCATTGAGGTTCCACTTGTCCGAATATAAAACATAATTAAACCCCTTAAGACTCAACGTATGTAATGCGATTGCTGTGGGCGCTTTCGATTTCTCTCCAAAACGTTCATGATACTGATTGTAGTTTTAGGCGACATAATTCTGGAATACACCAGAATTTTCAATGGGCATATAAATATTGGTAAAAGAACACGGACGAGTCAGTCGTATACATAGAGTGTGAAGATAAATAGTAAACAATTTAAAGACATTCGAAATATATATGAATTAGAATAATATTGTTTTAAAATAAATAGGTGTTCAAATAAATTATTAACAAATAAACTGTTGTTTAAAATAAACAAACGTAACAACTTGTAATAAAACTCGTATTTAAACTTGTATTACAACTTGAATTAAAACTTGTATTAAAATTTTTAATAAAATTTATATTAAAATTTGTATTAGAACTTGTATTAAAACTCGTATTACAACTTATATTAAAACTTGTATTAAACTTGTAATAAAACTTGTATTAAACTTATATTAAAACTTGTATTAAAAGTTATATTAGAACTTAATTTAAACTTTTTTAAAACTTTCAATAAAAAAAAGTCGTTTTGATTACAGATGAAGACAACCATATGTTCTTCAAAATGCATCATAAAGCTACCATGCTGGTAGCTCCGGCTTTGACCAACAGCAGTTGCGCTCATCCTCGATATCTGCACATCACCTTCTTCTCGGCACTGCATCCCGGAGACATCATCCAAGCTTTTCTGGTCCTCTCAGTCACCGTTGGTGTTTTAGGCGCCAATTTGTTGTTGATTTTGGTCATTAACAGCAGAAGATATTCGAAGTACATTCATTCACAGGTACGTTATTTTAATTATAGAGAAATATTTTAATTTGAATTGGATGTGATATTTAAAAGTTTTGGATTGGTACTTAAGTCACCTTCACTAAATAACATTTGTTACTTGACATGCTTATTGTATACAGTTTATTAATTCGGAATGATTAATACAGCAATAAAAAAACAAACATTTAACATCTTGAAGGCCATCATAATATAAAAATAAAGTTTTTTTGGTTCATATATGTAATAATAAAACTGTAGTGCCAACGTAGGTCCAAGAAAAAAACGAGCTAAATGCATTAGATTGTTCTCAGTCACCAAACAACATGCTCCATAACCTTATATCACTTCCGTTGTCGATAGTTTATGTAAAAGTGAGAAGGAATGGTGTTTCTCACGGGGTAAGTATAATAAAATTATTGAAGCACACGTGCTTCTCGTGGTAATTTCTCGATGGCTTGTTATAATGACAGTGCTGTTTTTATTATAATAAAATCAGCTAATTAAAATAATAGGAACATCAAAAATTTTATTTACTAGATTATATTTGCCCACAGAAAGCAGAATACATATGCGTAAAATATAGGAAAAAATGTTTATCTTTCTTGTGTCACATCATCAGAAACAAACCGTTTCCAATTTGGGGAAAAAAGGAAAAACTGCCCGGAGCAAAAATACAAATGTAATCAGGAGTCCCGACAACCACTAAATTAACCGCAAACACGGGTAAAGCCATTTATTCTATTTGGTCTCAGCCCCGCAATCTACTACTATAGTATAACGCCGTCTTTAGCGAATAATGATTTCGTCCTGGGATTATTTGTTACTCCCGTTTCGCCATTGTTCATTCATTCTAGAAGACACTGGCCGAAGAAACGTTATTATAACTGTCGACGACAGGGTAACAAATCTATTTTTTTTATCTCTCTCTCAGTTTGTTTTTTCGACGTCCGCATAAATTGTATTTTCGTTTGAAATTTGGGCGTTTAACAAATTTAATTGAAATAAAAAACGGGTAGATTTGGGCTTCGAGAGAGTTAAATTAAACAATCCTTTAGCTTTTGAGATCTGCTTTTGTATAGGGCGATTAAAAATATAACCCGATGCTACGTCTTTGCACAATCTGTCAATATTCTACAGGATGGAGCAAACAGGTAGGTCATAAATTACATTAGATATTCCGAAGTCAAAAATAGGTCGAGAAGACTTACTTATATACGGGATAGCTTAATTAAAATAGTTTTTTGGCCATATTTCAATTATTTAAGTGTACAGGTTTTTTTCATTATATTTTGACTACTTTTCATTATTATTGCGAACAAAAAAATGTTTTCTGTAAAAGCTTCATTGTTTTATATGTACCGACTAAATGTCATAACTGTACATACAGGGCGAGCCCAACAAAATAAAATTTAATTTTTTGTAGTCCTTTATTTTCTGGTTATAATTGTATAATATTGTATTAGACTATTTTTAATTACATGGCCGGTTTCCGGTACATTTCGTTATTAAAAGAATAATTATCGGTCCGATAAAGTTGTGTGTCCAATAAATAATAAAGTGTTTCTGAGAACTTAACTATTCGCTCCGTGCGAAGTCATGGAAAGGGAAGCAAAAGCGATACTAGCGCTAGCTGCGGATAATTCGTGCATTTTAGGGGGATATTTTGTAATTTTGGCATATCAAATACACGTATACATTTTACTTTTTTTCAAAAAAGTAGGTAAAAACAACACAATAAGCAACCGGAGTTACTGTGTTGAAAATTGTACAAATACTAGCAAAAAAAAACAGTGAAACTTATATAACAAATTTCACTAACAAAGTGGAAATTAAATCAAAGAAATAAATGGATAGGTGTACAATAAGAAGAAAAATTACCTTTAGTTTTGTGATAATAACAGTTATGCTGGAAATAGTAGACATCAGAAACTAGAAAGTTTTTAAATAAATAATAAATTATCATTTTACGATGTTCTTTAATATCCCTTTATTCTTAAATGTTCATTCAGCAAGGACTAGATTTCAAGATTTCTGCCGTTGATTATAATATTTGGCTGCTATGCAATTTTGTGACTTACTGATCGGAAACCAGTTTTAATCATTCATTCTATGTTTTCTTTAGAACAAAAATGAAAATATAAGTAGCGATCCTTTTTATACATTTTAACTTCACGCTATTATAAATGGTTTCTTCAATGACAACTTATTAGACTTAGGCAACTTCTCATACATTTTCCAGTAAATACTGTTGCCTGCCTATATTTTATTATTGATTTTTAATGATTATACATAATTTTCTTCAATTTAAGCGTGAAAAATATATAATAATAATAAATTAATGTTTTATAAATCCATATACTTTTATTAAAACTAACATATATACTTTTTATTTACGAATTCTATTAAAAATTGTATTTGTCAGTATAGGCAGAAATACTCCTTTAATACCAAAACAAATTGGCGCTGCTGTCGCGCACGGAGCGAATAGATAACTGTCGCTACCAGGTTTGACATATTCTCACGATAAAAGACAATTATTACAGGTGTTTCAACTTTCCTAAAATTCCATATAAAAACAAAAGACGATATGGCACCAAACACAACGTAGTTCCAAAAAATCCACTAGGGGTCGTTAGAAGGTGAGGTACCCGTTTGACCATTATAAGAGCTATATAAAGTATATTTTAACATCAACATGTATCCAACTTCAAGATCTGGCCATTAGATGATTGGTCAATCATTTGACAGATTATTATACTAATGTTCAGGGAGCATGACATATATTATATTTACGAACAAATATAATTGTATTTTATTTATAACGCTAAAAATTTTGCAATATTATATATTGTTGTTAGTTTAAAGTAATGCTTTTTTCATCTTTGTTGTCTAGTTATTGTTGTCTAGTCTAGTTGTTGTTAATTTTAGATATCAATGATCTACCCTGGATGTACTGATGTCAAATGTTAATTTAGATATCAAAAGTAGAAGTGGACGATGTAGAAATAAAATATTAAAGACGATAGTAATTGCTGTTATAGGCTTTATAACATTTTATAAATAAGGAAAAGAAACGAATAAAGGAATTTTAAATTATATAAATGTCTATGTGTGTACATTTTATAATAACGGAATTAAAATGACCGAAAACCAAATTACGGCTGTGGTCGAATATCCTGCTCCCAAAACCATCATACAACTCCGTCTATTTCTAGGCATCACTTTATGGTACAGAAGAGTCATACAAAATTACTTGAAAACAACAGCACCTCTCACGAAACTCTTCAAAAAGAAACAACGTTGGAGCTGGGATCAGGAAGAAGCTTTCAACAAGATCAAAAAACTTTGAACACAAGCCTCGATATTAGTATGCCCGCATTTCTCCAAACGGTTCTTCCTACATACAGACGGATCCAACCACGGGGTAGGCGTAGCCCTCCTCAAAAAAAAAAAAAAACGAACACAGAAAAGAGCAGGTAATAGTATATGCCAGTAGAACTCTGTCACAAGCAGAAAAAACTACATCGTAACAAAGAAGGAACTTTTTGGCAGTGGTCTTTGGAATAGAAAAAATGAAACCGTACATAAATCACCAAACCCATCAGAAAGGATAGCAAGAAGGGCAATGACACTACTGCAGTTCCATTTCGACGTCATATACAGAAAATGCAAACAGAACGTCCTAGCCGACGCACTTTCTAGAGAATCAATATGCACAGTGGACACACGAGACATACAATCAAACGAATAGTACAATAAGAAAATTAAAGAAGTAAAAAACGAACGCCAAACTGTTTCCGGATTACACTGTCAAAGGCAACCGTTTATAAAGGAATTTTTGGGACAAACACAACCTAATAGAAACAGATATATCAAACCCGTGTAAACTCTGCATTCCAAATAGTAAAAGACAACAACTCATCCCAGAAAATCATGAGCAAACAATAGCAGGACATCTAGACATAGCGAAAACGATAACCCACATAGCAAGAAATTATTACTGGTCAGGCATGTTTAGAAACACAGCAACCGTCGTGAGAAACTGTAAACACTGCCAGCATTACAAAACTCCGCAACAACAAACTCCTGGACGCATGCACTCAACGAACATTCCTCCACACTCATGACACACAGTCTCCACAGACATGATACGACCGCTACCAACATCAAGTGAAGAAAATAATTACATTTTGGTTTTCCAAGACACATAATCGAAATAGTTAGAAGTCATCCCAGTTAGAAGAACAACAGCAAATACCATATGTCACAACTTAAAAACAAAATCATAATGAGGTTCGGCTGCCCCAAAGAAGTAGTATCAGACAACGCTAAAACATACGAAAATGAGGAACAAAGAAAGTTACTATCAGAATACCAAATATCAAAGAGAGACATTTCGCCTTATTCTCCTCCAAACAACCTAGTGTTTTTACAGAGACCTGGTGAATATATAAAGCTGACCGAAAGGCCCAAGAAGGCAATCTAGCGAGGTATTAACTCGAGAGGCTTCCTGACCCATCGGCAAGGTACTGACTTGTCGATAATCCTTCTCCCCGCTCGCCAGGGTATTGACCTGTCGGACACAACCTACCCGGTGCGAAAGATATTGACTTTCGTACTGTCCTGTATCTCCCGTTCCTAAGGTACTGACTTAGGGATACTTCTCGTTCAAGGTACTTACTTGAATGGACGTCCAGAAATTCGACTATCGCGTATATCAGACCTGATCTTGCACCCATCAACCCCTCGAACGTCTCATCGTGGCACGTTGGTTTATGAAGAAGCATCCATGCAGCCAACGACCGCCGAAATATAGCGAGCTCCATCCGAATCATCTAAGCAAAACCTTACGAAGATTTATTTAGGACCCGAGGTTATACATTTTGTACATAGTATTCTTTATATAGTATTTTTAGAATAAATCTTTATTTTATATTTGAATCCTGTCTCTGACTGTACAACCCAACCCGGTGAAACGTAACTACCTTTACGGAGGGTTACAAAGTGCGATGTGTCACCGCCTCCTGTTTTAAGGGACTTAACTGATGATAATCTTAGGGACCTTATAAACGAAACCGAAATTCCAGACTTTGATTTTCCAAAGTTCCTTTGCCATACTCAATCCGTGGAGAGATGCGTAAAATTAGTTATAGAGTCATCTTTTTTAGTAATTGGTCCAGAATTAAGAATAAAATCAAAAGAAATTATATTAATATTTGAAAGTAAATGACAGTTTAAAATTCAGTAAATGTTTTTTTTTATTAGCTTGTTTTCTAGTACTTGATGTGTTAGATTTTTATGTTTAATTTCTTTAAGTACTTTTTACCATGTTTTAGATAAATGTATTGTTTAGTTTTAATCGTGTAATATTTATTTGTTGTTTAAGTAATTTTTACCTTAGCTTTTAAAGACAAAAGGATTAAACATTGATTAAAAGGGGTAATAGAGGGCTGAAGATGTTATTTAAAAATACTAAAAGTAAAGAGTGTGTTTACAAACACTAAAATGTAACTTGCAGTAAATTTTAAAATAGAGGGCTGAAAATAAAGATTTAGAAATTTTAAAAAAATTACAAAAAGTAAGCACAGCCAAACGTAAGTTTTGATAGATATTGTAAATTTAATTTTTATATTTTTTAAAATATGCCTATTTCGACCCAGCTTACTGTATATCCAAAACTATTTTTGAAATATGTCTCTTTTAAATCCATACAACTTGTTTTTAAACTTATTTGTGTGTCTATAACACAAATTGAAATATCGAGCAATTACGTATTAATGGGATCAAGCGAGCAAGTACGTACTAATGAGATCAAGCGTGCAATTGCAATGTAGTTTTTTTTGTAGGTAATAAACTTTGTTTAAAAATGAAAATATCAAATAATATATCATTTTGTGGAAGTGGCTGAAGTACCAACCCAAAACATTTCAATTTCACAGCCACCTCGATAGATTCTTAAATTAGATGATTTATTTTAAAATATGTGATTACAAAAAATAAACCGATAAACATTGAAAGAACGATTTTTCGTGATATACAAGTGTAACTCATTGTTCCATTTTGATTCCAGCCCCGTTATCTGCTAACTTCTTTGGCCAGCAACGATTTCGCCATGGGCTTATTTGTTACACCTTTCGCCATTGTTCCATCGTTGAGACACTGTTGGCCTTACGGGGAACTCGTCTGTCAAATCCAGGTGAGTAATGACCTTTTTTTATTCGCTCTTTTCTTTTTATAATCTTTATGTTAGATTGATAGATGTGTGGAAGTTTTAAAACTTTTGGTTTAGTTAATGTAAAAAAGCTACCGACCGACTACAGAATACTTGGGCTTTACTGGAAATGTTTTAAAATTAGAAAAATTGATTTAATATTATACGTCTGGGGGTGGGTTGGCTCAGTGGTTAGAGTCATGACTTTGAGATCGGAAGGTCTCAGGATCGAATCCCACCGTTGGCCGGGATTTTTTCATTTAATTTAATTATTTAAAATTAATTCTGATGCCTTGGTAGGATTCCCCAGTCGACCATTCACTGTTGGGTTCTAATTAACAGTGCTGTTCCTAAAGTGGCGCTGGGAAACAGTAACAAAGCCTACACAAAACAATGGCTAATGGCCGTAGTAGTGGACGCCGATGACACCAAATAAAAAAAAAAATATTATACGTCTTAAGGACATGTATCGATGCACATAACCTACGCCAAATTTAATTCAGTGTGAACGCTTAATTTGACATAATTTTTTAAAATTTTATTAGCTCTTTAATTGTAGGTATTTTAAAAAATAATATTTTTACATATTCTAGGAGGGTATTATTATTAATGTGTTTAAATATGTATGTAAATGCAAAACAGTGATAATAGGCATTAATTGTTAATGTACCAACTTCGTACTCACGGAGTGGACCGGTAGGTACCTAACATAACAGTCAATAATGCAAAAGAAACACGAATATTGTATTATTACTTGATATGAAACGGCTTGCTATGCCAGGTAAGTCATTCAAGGCAATACATGATATTTAAACAGCGCAGTTAAGTCTCTACTAAAACTATACTAAACGAAAATATGACTAACGTGTAAATACTTGAAATGAAACGGCTTGCTGTCCCAGTCTAGACATTAGAGGAAATAAATGCTATTTAAACAACACCTGTTAAGGCTGCGACATTTGATCCAGCGGTTTTGCAACAAAGCAAGTATTCAATACATTGTACATAGATGGCAATACCTGTACCTGTAGCTCGTATAACAATTTTATTTTTAAGCGTACTTGTTTTTATATCCAGGTTGCCAAATCTAGGTAGACAGATACCAATAAATGTTTTAGAAGAATAATATATATTTTGCGATATCCAGTTTCAATTTAATAATTGCACTGTTACATGAAAAATTAATCTGTCAAAACTAGTTGGTAAGTAGTAAGTAGGTTAAATGTAACAAGAAGAAAAAAAAACATTAAATTTTACTTTAGAATAATATTTCAACATTTATTAACATTATTGGTATATTGTATTCACTTGTAAACTATATTTGACGGTCATAATAATAATTTTAATCCTAAAGAACCGGGTCAATTGAACTTTTCCACATCGCAATTTTTGGGTGGGAGTGAAAGGTATTTTATGGTTGGGTAGAAATTTTATTACTTTATGGTTTTTCCTAATCCGAAGGGTTTTGTTTACATTTTACCTAAAAATTTGCAAAACTTCTATAAATATAAATCGATTATTTTAGAATTTAAATGATTCCTCGATTCATTTCGGTAATAAAATAAGAATTTTTAATTTTTTATGCCTACTTATTAGGTAATGGTACCTCTAAAATGCATAATGATATTACTTAAGTAAAAATATAATTTGACAATAGCGTGATCGCTCATGCTTTTGTTGATTAGACAGAAATTGTGAAACTTAACAATCGATTGGATCGATTATTGTGAATTTCGGAACTAAACAACTGGTAGTCTCTGGCAACTGACAAGACAAAAAACTCAAATGTCGAAGGATTGAAGTCAAAACGACAAAACGTAAACAGTTCGTTTTTCGTGTTTGAATTTTGGCAAATTTTTGAGTGGGTGTTGTTTTTTTTTTGTGCTTTTTCGTTATTCGTGATTTTGTTACTTTTATAAGACTTCATTAGTTATAAGGATATTTAGTAGTTAGTGAATAAACTTTTACCTTATAAAATATGGGGCATCATACAAATGTCCCGAGTAGAAAGAGGAAGAGAAATAAGATGTGCAATTGGAAAGTCATGTGTTCCCAAAAGTCGTTTGGTTTCAAAGTTCTTCAAGGAATAAAAGTTTAACAAAAATTTAATGTTGAAAGATATATAAAGGATTCATTTCCAATATTTTTGACATCTGTATTATATTTTAGGTTGTTTTTATTGTAATATACTATAATCTTTTTTCTAATAAACTACTTTTTGTTTTATGTCTAATTATTTTTTATATTTCCTTCCACCCATGTCCTATCAATAATTATTTTTGCAATAAACAAAAATATTTCGGTATTTTTGCAAGTTTTGAATTAGTTTTTATTAAAATTGCTCATAAACCGATACAATTAACATTAATAAAACTGATTATAATAACTACTTCAAACAAACTCAAAATTAATATTAAAGAAAAATATCCATTTGTACACCACTTCATTGGCTTCAATTCTTAAAATTAGTCTTCATGACACGTATATGACATACAGTGAGTGCAATAAAGTTGGGTCCATATATATATATGGCAATTTGTTTTAATATTATGACCGGAAAAAACGTCATTTACCTCTGATTATTTAAAAAGTTGGCTACGTACGTTACTTACCTGTCAAATTCGTAATAATTTTGAAAAATCGCTCAAATATTCTTTTTTAAACGAGACTGACAGAACTAAATCCAGTAGTCAAATTTAATATGGGTTGGTTTAAGTTTTTAAATAACCAGAGATGATGGTTTACGATGTTTTTTCCAATCGTAATATCAAAAAAAAATCACATATGGATCCAACTTATTGACACACACTGTATAAAGCAGGTTTGAGAACGTACAAAACTATATTTTTTTTAATTCTTGTCAACCAACAAAAGTGCTTGTGCCTTAAAATCTTCCCGATTTTGTCCATGGAGAAAGATTTTGTCATTCAATAAATATCTTTAAAACCATTGTAAACATACATAGAACGGCAACGTCGTATTATCATTGATTATCATATACAAGTATATTTGAGCAACGGTTCGTATTGTACTTTGAAATAATTTGACATGCCGTTTGCATTTCTAATTGGTCAACCAATAATTTGACATAAGACGTTTACTTTTCTGATAGGCAACCATTAGTTGTCGCCCAAGTTTCAATGCATACGTTAACTCAGCCTTGCATGTCGCATTGGTGGTGAACACGATGTACTAAAATGACATGATAATTAACGCGTCAATTTTAAAAATTGTGTCAAAATTTGCAAATTGAAATCATGCTTTTTGTAATAATTATTAGACCGACAGCCGTCATATTGTAGGATAGTTAATAAATAATCATAGAAAATTCATTGAAAATAATTTGCTTAATCATCCTTGCAATAAAATTTTTCAAGTTTTTAATGATAATTTGAAATTATGATTAGTTATTATCGAATATGTGTATATTCAATTCATTCTTACAACATTTCTGTTTATAATTATAACTCAATTTCCTTGTAATTTTTCTTTATTAATCTAAAAAGCATGATTTAGTAACACGTTGTAAAATGACAAAAACGGCCGCCATTTTTAGTCCATTTCCCAGCCTTAAGTCTCTACTAAAATTAAGCTAAATGAAAATCAGATTAACATACTCCAGTCGACCAGCTTTACGGAAAAAAAAATAATATTGTTAGATTTTTAATAAAGTCAATTGTCGGTCAATGTCAGGCAGTGACTGCTGGGGTGCGTTCTAAAATGTAGGGTAAATGCGTACGGACGTTGTCTAAATTCTAAAAAGCGTTCCTAAATATGAAACGTTTTATCTGGACGAATTACCCTAGCCATTCCTATTTAAAAGAAAAACGCGTCGGGATGAAGAAATTTTACCCAACGTTTTGAGTAGGGTAACTTTTACTCGACTTGCGCAGTATGTCATAACCCTAATTAACCTAAGGAGCGATTCCACCGTTGTGTTAAACGGAGATTAAAATGACATTGTTAATGTAAAAATGTCATTTTGAAATTCGTTTAACACAACGGTGGAATCGGTCCTAAGAGAACCACCTAGTATTTAATTTCCTATTTTTCTATTTAAATATGAGCATGAGTGAAAGAATTAATTCCATCAATTATCGTCTAGTTGTCGGAAACGATGGTAATTTCATTACAGAAAATGATAAAATTTTATGACACAGGATTAAATGTAATGAATTGAATTATTACATAAAAAAGTCTATGTGGACGTCAATGATGTTACATATTTACTAATTTTTGATAATTCCTACAATCTCAGATAACAGAAAAGACATAACCAAAAACTTAATTTGACAATACTTTGCACTTACCGTTCGTATTTATCGGGCAAAAATAAACGTTTCGACGAATTTTGTCCAGACAATTGAAAATTGACGCTCTCCATTTCTGAACGCACCCCTGCGGTGATGTCGTTCCTTCTGGAACGCGTACCGCTTTTAAGCGCACATGCGTGAGCGGCCGAATGATTATAAGAGCGCCAAATTCAAATATTTTAAATATAATCTAACAATATGGTTGAACTACAAGGTCCAAAAAACTAATTTAATAATATTAATAATCCCATTTTAATCAAAATATACACCATTAGCGCCGCTTTTATTTTTACATTTGAGCATGCGCAGATCATTTATGTTCTAGAACTGACTTTATTAAAGATTCTGTCTGACCTAATTGTGGATGCTTAAGGGCAGAAGATAGTGGCGACTTTATAAAACTTCTAAAATGATCATTTTTAATTCCTCTTTAATATTGTGTACTATTATAGACAACAAAAAAGATAAACTGTAATTTAAAGTTTTTAAAATACCTGTGTATAAGGACAATGACTCTAATGTCAAAACATCAGGTTTGCAATGTCTTATTTTAGCACGGAATTGATTTGCTTCTTATTACGTTGTCACTATTGATCTTATAGAAATTTGCAATATCTCTCTAATACAGTGGCGGCTACCGTTTTAGTTGGTCAATTACTTTTATCTTTATTT